AATGGAAACGCGAAGGTAAGAGGACTTTCACAAGTCTGGGACGCGAAGAAACCTCTTTCCCCATCCTATAGACTTCAACAGGCCGACACTCCACATTCAAAGCATCTAAAATATCAAAAACTTTCGACTCCAGATCCCTCTGCTTCTCGGACGGCAGTGAATGTGGAGGAGCTTCTTCGAGCCCACTCAAAACGATGCTTCTGGAGCGTTTCTCAGCTTCCAAAAGCTCCGACATTTCCTTGGGTACCTTGTCCGCCAGAACTAGAAGCATCTTCTCGATTTCTGGGTCAGTATTCCGCTCCAAAACTGCCTTAATAAGCTGGCTTGCCGAAAGCCCCGCGTAATCTGTTTCCACCGGAAGTGTTCCAGAAGACTGGGAAGGAGCACAATGGGCTATCTTGGAACTACCTGAATTATCAGGCGCCTCTTTCTTCCTGTGAAGTCGATCTACCTTGGGTGGCATTGTCAGTCGTGCACACTAATGACAGAATCTATCAATCAGAAAAAATATTGTGTTCTATCGATTGGCGGGGAGTCGGGGTGAGTACGGTAATTGCAGCGACATTTGCCGCATGCCGCAAGGGAGAATGCCGCAGTCGGGGAGTAGTTCCGTTACCCGGAAGCAAAGCACATCAAATCGATGGCGGTAGTGGGAGTTTTTTTGAACTTCGCAGCTCCCTCTACATGAAAAACAGAATCTAGCGCGGAGGAGACGATGGTCCGATTGTGTGTTTCGCGAACAGCAGCGACGTCATTCAGGCAAAAGTTCCGCTTGAAGACGACGTGGTCTACGCTACTTCATAATTATACCGTACAACAGACGGCTTCCAATTCCAAGGCTTATGAATAGGCTCACGGCACTAACCGTAGAGCTCTTCAGTCATTTTCCTGAGGGCATTTTCCGCGATGAAGTCGAAGAACATAACCTCAAAGAAAATATGACTGTCTGAATATGACCTTTCACAGGATTGTAAAAAATTCGCTCCTCTTATTTATAGCTTGATGTTGGTACATAGGTAGCGCAGATTGCGAAGATTGTTAGAGCTGAGGTTGAACCACATCTTCACGGTCGCCGAATCGATGCTCATGGCCAAGTGCATGCTGAGCAGGAGACCTCCATCGTCGACGTCTCGATGTTGGATGTTAGGAGAAGCAGTTCTTTCCCATTGTCGAAATACCATGAAGTGAATGATGTCTTCTCTACTCGTTTAGTCCCATGGCAACCAGAATTTCGAAACACGCTTCCGATGTAGGCGTTCTTGCATTGAATCTACAGGTCGCCCTTCTTCCTCATCTTCTTCGTTTGTGCAGCCTAGTGTGACTCTGAGATTTTTGCAGGCTATGTCAGAGGGTTCTACACGACGATGTATGTAATGTAATGAGCCGTACTCATATAGCTGTTCCCGGTATAGAGGTACCGCGTATAGCTTGAAAAGCACTGACGTGGGTGCTGGACAACCTGCGGGTAGCAAGCTATGCCACCTAAATATTATAAAAAAAGTAAATCGCTAGTGTAAAAATTGAAAATGCACAGCGGTCAAAAAAGCACTGATAACTGCCATCGGGCTTGAGCTACGTTTGATATAGGGCGTGAGCTCTGACTTTCCAAATGTAATAATAATATTAATATTGATATAATATTAATGTGATCATGCAACGAGAAGCTACGATTTCTAGAAGAGGCAATTACTTCTGTAGGAGCTTCCAGATAAATGGATAAGGGATCAAAATCAGTAATCGAGTGATTAATAACAAAGAAATTTGGGCCAAAAAATAAGTGACCAATTAATTAATTTAAAGTTACACTAGATGGTAGCAAGGACTTACTGATATGATTCGAAGTATGCTCAGGTTTGTCCGATTCCCTTGCCACCTCGAACCACAACGGTGCCTACTGCGACGTTGTCGTCAATTCAACGGATACCAGCACCAACCACGTCAGGCGTTGAGAAAACGGTACATTTTTCGAACTGTAATTCTTGTGCATGTGTATAATTTATCCAAAACCGCTTATCTATGATCATGCATTGTAGTATAATTTGCAGTAATACAAAATTCTGGAATGAATACATGAGTGGTCCTACACTTGCAAAATACATTTCGAAAAGTCAAAGTCCGATTTCTGCGTGGGAGAGAAAAGTTCCCAGAGAGTTGTTGCTTAGCATTTAAAAGTGGTGCCCAAGCCCATATAACACAGAACGTCAGCAGCAGTACCTTGCAAGAAGCCTTTCATATGGCGGTATTCTGCCTGGGCCAAGCGCCAAAGACACGCTGCTTCATCGACTGTTCTTTGAGAGGTTTTTTGGGAGTATGGCTTTTGCTAGAGCAAATTATATTGTTCAAAACTACCTATTTTGTCCCTGATTTTTACCTTCTGTAAGATCTTATAGTCCGCAGTACCCAGCCCTTCGAACTATGCGCTGTCAAGCAACTCAGGAACGGAGCTTAGCCATTCCAACTGTTCTTATTGGTTGATTGACAAGGCACATGGCCCCAGAAGTAAAAAGAAGGTTGCCAATGTGAAGCGCGATAAGTCTCGGCCAGCTTCGCTCTTACTTCGGACCTTGAGACTATCTGTGCTTTAAGGAGGATAGCTGCAAAATTAGGTGAATAAACCACTGCCACATAATTGAGGATAGCGGTACTTTTCCGCGAATTCTCACGGCAAGGGGCAGTGGTAGTGGGTACCTTCCCTCCATAGCGCGCGACTGCGCGCCAACGGATGCATTGAGCGCGACGTGATGTTCGGGGTAAAGTTACCCTACACTCGATAATTGCGATTAAAGGCCACTGTTATGAAGCTTGTCAAAAAAGAGCGTGGAGTACTGGCAAAAGTGTGAAAAATTCGTCAAAAAAAACGAGTGCATAGAGAACTGGCAAAAGTGTGAAAAAAGAACGAAAAAATTCCACCTTTTTCGTTTGAAAGCAGGCTATCTACACAAAGTACTTTATTCAATTTGGGAGGCCCAAGTTCGTCTTGGATTTTTGTTCACGGACACGGCGTGGAAAAGATTCAACGTACAACATATNTTTTTTTTGGAGTAGAGGTTACTGTAGCGATGAACTTTGATTTCCACGAAGGAGAAATTATATTCACACATCGTGAGCAACAACTGTCGATTTTTTGAGCATACCGTAACTTTGTATGTCCGTATTTGCACAATCATGAAATAAAATGACAGAGGAAAAAGTTGATTTTTGATTTTGCAATGTAACGATTTGTATGGGCATATGGTACTTTCACAAGTCATGCATAAAACTGTGCTAACATAATTTATCTCCACAAAAGTATAATGAAATAACTTCAATGATAATCACTTCTTGCATCAATTACTTTACTAAACCCTTCTAAACTACATAAGTGCTATGGTGTTGGCGCGAAAAGATTAGTGCGGATCGTTCGGTTCCTGACTGTTTATACAAATACCACGTAGTTTCCATATCTCTCCCGACTTAGTACATATACTCTTTACTGCTCATTATTACTCGTTATCATTCATTATTATTCATTATCATTTCTCACCATAACCCCTTCAATTCTCGTTTCTTGAGAACTCAAGAACTTTACTTAATCATGAATGAAGTGCAATTGAAAGAGGAATTAAATCGTCAGAGAAATCAGCAAGTCCTTAGTTATTCCATTTCAGGGAGCACATTTTACCCGAAAGCTACAAGTGGTAATAGTTATTGATCAAAAGGTTCAAAAGAATCTACGTGTACGAGAAATGGCATTGAAAGATGTGCAGAATGTTGCGGACACACTAAATGTCAACTTGACGGTAAGATTTTCTGAATATATGTATGTTATGAATAATATCATGCGATAGTCCAAACAGTGCTTTGTGTCTGCATTTGAATTTCTACCTTTTGGAAGAGTTGGAATATACTCAAAATCTTCTTTTGCTCTTCCCTCAGCTACAGTCCATGCGCTCTGGATTTTTGGCCAGCCAGACAGTTTTTACGCGGTCTACCGCACCCCTACTGACTTGTCCCGAGTTGTCACGATGGTAATTCATTCGCCATTCTAGTAGTATTAATCACTGAAGCAATTAGTAGTACTCATTATCACATAGCAATTAAGCTTTGGTCTATTTGATCTACAGCGTGTAGATGGGATATGAAAGCTGCAACAAAGGTTACATTCTACCGGTAAATACGGAAGTGTCTAGAGGCAAGTAACTGACGGAAGTTCCGCTAGTCCATCGGTGTTTTTGAGCTATCATCGCGGAGAATGTAAATAAACTTAGTGAAAACTATCAGATTTCATATTATTTTTTAAATGAAAATGAGTCTTGGATCACTATTATTATTATTCTTATTCTTCTTCTTCTTCTTCTTCATCTTATTATTATTATTATTATCATTATTCGTTATTATTATTTTACAGCAAATCGATTTCGATCGGTTGGATTTTGGTGAAGCGAATGCACTTGACACGTTCTATAACGCTGACGTGGCACTGGTTGATGTTACGGTACAGCAGCAACAGCCCAGTTTGTGTTATCATATTGGTGAGTTCCATGACAACTGTCCAACTAGCTTCTTCGCGCAGTCAATGGGGGTTAGACTCTCATGCAGAGGGGCATTTCTAGAGAGGGAACTAAAAAAATAATAGTTGTAGCATTTGAACAGTTCAAACTTCGCGAACAACAGAGGACATTATAAACCAAACTCCCTCAAGAGGGGCGGAGAAAAGGAGACCTATTGTAAGTTGACCGCGCGCGAAACTCTATCTCCGCAAGTGACAACCAAAATTCTCTTCATCTTTATCGGCTGGTTGAACGGCGGCTTTTCCTTGGGTTAGCTTTATCGCAAACACTCGCGATCCCCTTACCAAAACATGACGCGCTGACCGGAAGTGCTCCAAGTTCTGAATTTAGACAGCGTTGGTAGTCTTTCGCCAAAATGTGGGGGAATCAATCCACCTTTATACTGCAAGAATACATCCCCTTCTTCTAATCTTCCTGTTTTTATTATGATTCTGAACTTCTTGAATTCCCCGGCACGAGAATGATTTGAACATAGATCGGCACCGGTCCCCGTCCGCACATCATGTTTTGATTAGAAAATTGCGCGTGTTCGCGATAAGCTTTGAAGGTTTTACTTATCGCTCGTCACAAAAGGGTCATCTGTTCAACCACGGCGACTGCTAACCAATGTACTTCATAGTAAATATGTATATAAATTAATCAGTAATATAAGTAGTATGTCTTCCGTTTTGGCTCTGCTCAGACGAATCACTTCGTTTCTCTTTAACCCTCGAGGCTCGTCAGGACTTAGGGTAGATGAAAAATCAACAAAATATATAGTTATGATAAAAATGTTGATATTTTGTGTAAACGCTATAAGGCAATACTCATCTATGGATAAATATATCTAAAACAAAACAACATAATAAGTATCAAACGAAGATGATTAGTATATTAGACAAATGATTAGAAAAAGGATTAAGAAAAGAAAGACAATGAGAAAAAACCGAGTAGGAAGAGAAAGACAATGAAAAAACCAAGTCGTAAGGATTAAAAGGAGGCAGGGATAGCCGAGTGGATAGGAGTGTAAGCTCACGTCTGCGCTCAGAGGGAGTGCGAGTTCGATCCCTGCCGAGGCAACTCCATGCCTTGCAAAATTTGCAAAAAATGGCATCGGTACCAGCGTCAGGCCAGGTTGACAGGCCGGCTGATGGAGAAACCAGTCACAACAAATATGTCTAAAGTCTCAAAGAGTATCCGTGATAAAGCTAGGACGTCACCCGGAAGTGGCGCACAGGGCCCTCGCCTGAGTTCTGTGGACAGTATGCGAGGACTACCGAGGAGTGAACGACCTCGGCCAAAGAAGTTAGTTCGAATAGGGACTCTAAAT